AATAAACTTGCAAAAAGTTTAATCCTTTAACTTGAGAGCCTTTCTTGGTTTAGTGAATCTACAGCTTAATTATGGAAAGCAACTATGTAAGCAGGGGCTGCTGACCCACAGAAAAATCAGTTGGGTCTGCACACAAACGAGAAGCAAAAATAAAAATCCCCCCCCCCCCAAAAAAAAACCACCCTCACTGACGTGGCCCCCAACTAAAAAGAAGAAAGACACATCCACATTCTCCTCACACACCAGAGCCTAGGGTGCCAAGCCTAATAGATTTTGTGTGCTCCAGCCCTGCGGTGGGATGGTGGAGGGGCTGGAGGGGAATGTGCGGAGTGTCTTTCTACTTTTTAGTCAGTGATAGTGGGTTTTTTATTTTTGCGGGGGGGGGGGGGGGGGGAGGGGAACCCTGAGCCTCAGAGGCCAGATCCAGGCAAGCTGGGGGCCACATCCATCTCCTGAGCCTGAGGATCTCCACCACTCATGTAAGGCATTCCTAAAATGCTATGAATGAAATTCTCAGACTGCATGCCTGCCCAGGGAAGTTAAAAACAAAAACAAAAAAACCCCAACAACCCTGAACTCTACTGTGCTTGTTACTTGTGCCTTAGGGGTAAGAGGAGTTGTACAACTACCCTCCTGAAGACAGCAGCTAAGGAATAGGCCGAGCTTTGTGTCTGATCTCCCATGGGATAGATGGGCAGCTCATTACTACCTGCCTAGAACAAAGGGATGGTAGGTAAGGATCATGGTTTCCTCGGTCACAGCTTCTTCTCTGCATTAGGAATGTAAGCGACTATCTGCTGCTGCAGCCTTGGCCTTGACCCAACCAACTGGCGGCTGGGGTAGAGACAGGGAGAGAGACAGGGGTGGGAGGGAGAGAGACGGGTCGGCTGTGGCCTGACCCCCTGTGACCGGGGAGAGGGGGCCAGGGAAGAGGCAGGGCTGGCCAGCCTTAGCCCATGCCCCGCCCCCCCATCAGCTGGGGAGGAGGAGAGCTAGGGCTGATGCAGTCTTGGCCTTCCCCACCAGCTGGGGGGAGAGCAGTGGCTGCTCTGGCCTCAACCCAGCAGCTGGGGGTGGGGAGAGTGGACAGGCCAGGGCTGCCACACTTCAGTCTGACCCACCCCTGCGGCCAGGAGGACAGCAGGGGCTGCCTACCCCCAGAGAGAGGGGGGTTGGTGAGCAGAGCGAGCAAGGGATGCAGTCCCCTAATATATCTAGAATCCTGCAGATTTGTAGATCTCCACTTTATATCCATGAGTATCCTTGGATCGTTTTATTCACGGAGGGCTTTATGCATACAGCCAGGGAGGTAAAAGGTGGAGGAGAGACTAGTCTCTGAAGGCAGGTATGAGGAGGAAAGAGATGTTTTTATACAACACCTGGCACCACAGGGTTGAGGCAATAAACAGCAAAGCACTACAAATGCACAGATAATACTGACTGGCCCAACCGCCTATGGCAGTAAAATGGTCAAGAATATAATTCCCTCAACTGCCCATGTTCCCCTTAGCTTCTTAGCCATATGTTGCAATCCTGGAAACAAATTTCTCCTGCATGAAGATCAATATTTTAACTGTTCATGGGCCTAACGTTAATTCACTGATGTCAAAGGTAAGAAGACTTCAGCTGACTCAAGATCAAGCCCAGCATTCCCCAGAGCCAGCCAGTGATAGTGTCTTCATTAGTGAAGATTTCAGAGTGCTGAAGCATTAAAGGATTTCTGGTTCACACCAAAGCTAGCTCTAGGCATACGATATTTAGGGCAATAGTCTTTAAAAGGTTATCTAAGGTCAGGAATGGTATTAACATTAAACTTTACACATCAGATTGTAGGATTATAGCAAAACTTTGGTCTTCTTGTTCTTTGGTCCCCCGTTTCTTTTCAGACAATTCCTGTTCTCTCTAGAGCCAGTTTGCCATAGCAATTTTAGCAAAATCTGGTTTCTGAAACAAGCAAACAGCCCCTTTAACAAACAGCTGTCTCCTAACCTATCATTTGTTCTAACTAGGAGTTTACTGAAAGTTAAAACTGCAATATTTTAAAGTAACTACATACCTAGCTTCCAAAAGCACAAGATTAACAGTGTCATCAAAACAAGCAATGGAAACAGAAAGTTTCAAACATTTCAAGGGAGTTCTTTTACTAAATAAAATCAAATGTTATATTCAGAATAAGCAGCAGAGATCCTTTTAATGAATGGGTAGCATACTGTACTACAGATCAGGAATTATAAAATTAATTTAACAATCCAAATCTGATTTGCTATGAAAACAAATAGCTCTTAGCTCTTGAAAAGAAAGTTGCTGAGTTTTGCACTCAACCACTCTTCTGCATTTGGAACTTCGATGCTTAATTCTTTGTATATTCTGTGGTCTTAATCCAAATTTCTACATATTGTGAAAAATAGGTATTATTTATTATTACCTTCATAAAGCTTTTGGCCATGATGTTGAAGTGACTCAGCAGAGGAAATTCAGATAAATGTTGAAAATTCCACAGCCCATTTCAAGGAGAACTGGGGGCTACTAATAAAACAGATTCTAAGATTTGATGCAGGCTGATGAAGTAATGTTGATTTTCTTACACTGGCACTGGTGAGACTGCTGCCAGAATACTGCCCATTTCTTGTATCCACAATTCAAGAAGGATGTAATAAACTGGAGTTTTCAAGCCACAAGAATGATGGGAAAACCTGCCTTAGAGGGACAGATAAAAGCTGCTCAGTCTGTTCAATTTAACCAAAAGAAGGCTAAGGGGTGACTTTATCATCTCTCTCTCTATATATATATATATTAGAGTGCATCTGTCTGTTCAGGAACTCCTCCTAAACAGTAAGAACTAGGGCCACCAAATTTGGTATGCAGTTTCCTTTTCTCTTAACTTAAAGCAAGGTCAGGGTTTGCTTGTGCCAGGACAACCAGAAGTCCCTGGAAAAGGGGCTGCTGTTCCAAGGGACGTGATATGAGTGGCCACCTGGGGTAGTGGCCAGCAGAACTGGGGCTCCACCATCTTGCCTGCCACCGGACTGAGTAAGTAGCCCCCTTCCCCAAACCCTTTCCTTCCCCCTCCTGGGTGGGTGCTGGAAGCCCGGGCTGTCCCTCCAAGCCTTGTCTCTCACCCACCCAGCCAAGCTACAGGCCAGGACCAGCTCATGCAGCCCCGGCTTTCTGGGAGGAGCCACCAACCAGGGACTGCAGCCCTGGCCCCACAGGAGGGGCCGCCTGATGGAGAGCACTGCCCTTCCCCCACCCTGAGATGAGCTGCCGCCACAGCACTGGAATCCTTACTACTCCCAGGAGGCCTCGGTAAACTCCCCTCCCCCGGGCTTCCCAGACCCCTGCTCTGAGTCCTGCACCTCCTACTCCCTGCTCTCACTCCTGCACCCCACCCCATGCCTCAGACCCCTCAATCTAAACCCCTGCTCTGTGCTCCCCTTCCATTCCCCCTGCCCTATACAATCATGTAAATAAAGTATTTGCATTTTCCTTTCCATTTACAGAAAGAAACCCCAAACATTACTGCAGTTAAGGTCTCGAGCAACACTAGGTACATCTGCTAGTTGTTTTCTAAAGCACTATTGGGATGCACTGAAAGAATCACAGAAACAGGGCAGGAAGGACTTTAAGAAGCCATCTACTGCACCCCACATGCCAAAGCTATTTGCATAAATTGTGCAGACAGAATCTTTCCAGTGCTCATCAAAATACTGTTTTCTGTTAGTAAGTGTCCTCCAAGTAAGTGTCCTACAACAGGACCAGAGTAAACTGGATAAAGACAGCAGATGTGCATGCCTTGTAAAAGATAGAATTACAGCTGTGTTTCATAACCCTAATCTGCTAACTGCGATTCATCTTCAGCGCAAGTTGGAGGAACCAGAGCTTTCCAGGCTGGAGAATCTGAAATCTACCTATGTGAATCTCTGAGTGGGCTCAGCATGCACATGGACATTCTGCTGTATTAATGTAACACATGAAAATTGAATGTGAAAGAGCCGTGGGTTAGTGCACTCATTAAAGGTGATATTGCAACTTAACTGCAAAATACCACTGGTGATAATATCAACAGAAACCAGAGCCATGCAAAACATTTGTTCTGAACTTAAACAAGCCTGGGTCTGAGGTTGCATGTGTTCTGCAAACACAAAGAATGTTTGCACAAAGAAAAAGTCCAGCAACCCCCTCCAGCTTACACCCATTTTGCCCTACCCCTATATCCTAACCAGCCTTCCTCTTACCTTTGGAGGAGAATGAGAGCTCGCTTTTGGGTGAAGGAAGAAATGTTCTTGGTGGGAGTGATTTTCCATGTTGAAAAAGGAATCTGTTCAAATCAACCTTCAGTGGCTGGTTCCTTTCTAATACCTACAAAGCAAACTGTGGCATTCAGAACCTCATCATGAACAGTCCCCCACAGATCTAGTCCAACAGTTTTTCTTTATATTTTTCTCTCAGAAAATGGCACGCCTCTCTTCTCTCCCATTCATATGAATGAGAAAGAGATGTTAGAAGCAGAATTTAATTGAAATGCATTTTGTGTCTTTCAAGTTAGGTGTGAGTCTCTATATATATGATATGACAGGAAAATTATGCCTTCCATTTGTAGAGAGGTGTAAATGCCTTATTTAGAGTAATGATTATCATAAGAGTGGCTCCTTTGTTGCTGAAAAGCAGAAGTGACATGGTAAAGCCTTTGTTGCTGAAAAGCAGAAGTGACACGGTAAAGCCATGTTTGAATTGTGTTATCACTGAACTAGCTAAAGTAGTAATGTGGAACAGAAATTACTTTGCTCTTAAATAAAGGGCTATGTTTTCTAAATGAAGTGTGAACAGGATACATTCTAAAAAGATAATTTGGTGACCCAACAAATTAAGCACACAGTATATTTTCAGACACGCGGTCTCATCAACCTGAGTGCATGTGCATGTATGTGTCTAAGCACTGAGAAAGAGGAGGAGGAGTTGGGTACATCTATAAAACAAGATGGACAAAAGGAATCTGTTTAAAAAGCACATGGTCAGGTAAGAATTACGAATGCAGGTTTTAATAGGGGAAAACATACAACAACAATACATATAGCTGATGAATCTATCTACTGCATTTATTCATACATATACAAAGCTATTTCAGATATAGCATAAAAGATATTAGTCTGAGAAAAAATTCTCGAAAGGAAGGGATATGCTGCCATATAAATAATCTCTCTCTATAAAAAAAATGTCCTGTGGGATTACTGTGATGTCATCACAACACTCTGCATCTGAAGGAGCCAAGCCCCACCCACTCCTAGCCTGGCCCTTCCCAAGGGCCACGTGGAGAGCTGAAGCTGCCTGTGGCCCTGGCCCTCCCCCTCTCTTTCCCAGTGGCCAGGGGGAGCCACAGCTGCCACAGCCTTGACCCAGCCCTCCTTGGTGGGGGAGGGCGAGTGGGGGAGAACCAGGCCCAGCACAACCAGGTTAAGAGCTGGACCATGTGCAGCCTTGGCCTGGTTCCTCCCCTCTTGGTGGTGGTGGGCCCAGTACAGCCTCAGCCTGGCCCAGCGGCCAGGGAGAGAGCTGGACCCAGTGTGACTTTGGCCCACTCCCTCAATGGCACAAGGGTGAGGGGCAAGGGCTGGAGGAGGCTCAAGAACTGGGGCCAGGGCAGCCTCAGACCCTCCCCAGAGGTCAGGGGGGCTGGTAAAAAAAAAACCTCCGGAATCTCCCTGGCTGAGAGGGGGTTGGCAAGAGTAGAAAGCAGGGAGCATGGTTGCCTAATGACAATATAATCTTACATATAAACAATGATAATACATGTGTAGTTTTGATAAACTATTAACAATTTCTGCTAGTAACAACAATTATTTTAAAATCCACACAGAAGCCAGTATGAATTTTTACACATGAATTTAAACAAGAAATTAAACGGTTTATTATATGTACATATGTATCAAATATTACAAACTGAAGTACTGTACTGTACTGTCTGACAGGCAAAGAGCACATTGAGAAGCTCATGGCTCTGGAATAATGATGTATCTTTGGTATTAGAAACAGTTTAAAATGCAGCATTTAACTCATTCAATACAGGGCATTAAACAGACAACAAAGATGTGCAGTCTGAATACCATGAAAAAGTGGTTAGATATTACTTTAATTCTTTTCCTAGGTAAATTGCTGGTCCCGAGTTGCTAAAAAGCACACTACAAACTTGGTGTAATGAGGTTACTTAACAAAATAATGCTAAAAAACCTTAGGATATTTAACATAACATAAAACACAACACAAAACACAACATAAATGCTTTGTAATTTGTATTGAATTAAACTGCTTCTCCTATATAAGAATTATATGATAAAGCAAAAAACATTTCACAGAGCTAAAGCCTATCCCCAAAGTAGACAGGACTGCCAAAGAACCAACGTTGTCCACTTAAGTAGCATCGGATCAGGACCACAACATAATACTACTGAATGACTGACTATACCCAGACAACATACTATACCCAGACAACATAAAAGTCTAAACTGCTGTACAGATCACTTTATAAAATACCTTTTAGGAATAATTTACACATTTACATATGCTTTAAATCAGTTCCATCAAATAACGTATTCAACATAATCACAGTTTACATAATTTGAGGTAACTTCCCTGAAATCATGGTGCTTTGGTGGAGATTCATCCCTAAGGTTAAACTTAAATTGCAATTTTTGACAGGCTCGCTGCACCACTTGGCCCTGAAAAGGGTCTGTCTGCAGGATGCAGCATGTGGGAGGAATGGCTACGCAGGTATGTGTCTTTGTGTCCTCACCCTTTGCCCCCATGCTATGAATGGATGTCTGTGCTGGCTACATAGCAGGCCTACATAAAAGTGGGGACCACAGTCGGTAGCCCAAGTGCAGGAGTTCAGTATGTGCTAATGAAGATCTCATTCTCTGGAGGATCATTGGATAATATGAACCAGTCCATAGAATGGAATAGCAGTTGCAAAGGGGCTGTATTGCTGGTCTGTGTGCACATTGTGGTAATGGATCCCCCTGTGTTTTTACGGGAAGGAAGAGAGTATCTCATGTGCAGGAAAAATCCAGTTCAGAATTTTATGTATGCAGGAACATTTTGCTTATCCCAAATGTTACACTTAAGAGATTAGCTAAATATTAACAATTGCATATTCACATATGTACAACACTACCACTAACATTTGTTTGAATTTTTTCTTTTATGAACCAGGACTTTCAAAATTCATTAAAATGCTGGATCTCAAAGGACAGCGATCACTTGGTCATGCCCAACAGCAAGGTTATAGGCTTTCATGCTAAACTATGGTGCTCTTTTTCTTGGGATAATGGACACTTATTCATTACATTATAGAAGGAACATTCCCTTCCACTGCATTGCCATAATTTCACTACCAAACTGGGAGAGAAATAACAGATAGAGTTAGTGTCCTGAAAAACAGGGAGTCAGGCAAGGGGAAAAAAAAAAACCTCTTCTTGTGTGCATTTAGGATGAAATCTCTTTGCTTTTCTCCAAAACCACATTTTTATTCTATTTAAATTATTTTCAGCCCTGCAGAGCTGATGGGACTGCAAGTGTGATCCTTTTGTCTTCACACAGGAAAGGAATTAACAACTAAATTTCTACTGCAGAGCCAGATGTGATACATTACAGGCAAAATATGACATACAAAATGTTTCAACTCCTGGTAATATATGAGCTATAAAGAACATATTTTGGTTTTGAGATTCTTGGTTATGTTTACATAATCAGCTGCATACTTGTAAACTGAGAAAAATTAGCTTTGGAGCACATAAGAAAACAGAGAGAGAACACCACAATCTCATTTTACCATTTTTTTCTAGCACTAAGTAACACTCCACTTTTTTTAAAACTGCTGTTGCAAACTTGTAGGACTTCCAGTCAGTTATAATCATCCAACAAATGTACCTTGGAAGAGAAGGCTGTTAATATTTACTATATTATTTATTTTTCTCAGAACAGCTTGAGGATTTCACAACTGCTTGTTATGTGACAAGTATGATTGGTTGATGAAGAAAAGTCAATATTGCCTGTCTTGAAACATGTCCACTGGTATGACTAAATTCTCCTTTTTCTGTATGCAGTGATAAGGAATAATAAGCCTTCATCTTCTCCTTCCACCATCAAAGGTGTTAGCTACTAGAAAAAAAGATTTATTAAACATTTACCAATAAGCAGAATTTGCTGTGTGCCACAGGGCGAAATGAAACACAGCATACAGCAATCTGTTTTGCAAGGATCATCCAAGAAAGTAAGATTTGGGCTTGACACTGGTCCCTGATGATGGCAAACTGGCAAGTTGTTTCTTGCATGGCTCTGGGCAACCATTAGTCCGTCAGTACAAATTTCTTTAGAAATCCCAACTTTATGATGGGGAGGGGTTTGGACAAACAGAAATGTTGCTTTTGAAATTCTTAACAAGACAATAACGCCTTGCAGACTGTTGTATTCCACAGTCCCTGAAATTTCTGGTCAACAGTGCAAAGTAAGTGTTCAATTCATTCATCTTCTTCAACATAGGTTGATGGAAACCAGCCCATCTAAAAAGGCAAAAGCAGAACAAAAATAATATATAAGGTGTTAATGACACAGGACAATTCCGCAGAAGGCCTGGCTAGGCAAAAATTATAATGGTTCTGTTTAGTGAATACAGAACTATAAACATTAACTTGAATGTGCTGCCATAGCACTCAAAATAACACCTCTCAACCAAGTGATGCAAATTATTGTTCCCCATTATTTGGAGGCTGCAGCACTCAACATTAAAACCTCAGAACTAAGCTACAAGCTGTGACTATACCCGAGAAGTCTAAAATGTGGAAGAAGCAGCATAAGAGCAGAAACAAATTTCACTAGAGGAAAGCATCTGTCATTTTCCTCTTTTGGAGGTAAAAGACATTTAAGTATTCTGCAACGCTACAATCAGGCTCACAAGTCACCATTACTGTTATATAAACCCTAAATGGCTTCCATCTCTACCTTAGGTTGCTATCACTCTGCTCATGTAATACCAGATAAATGGAGACACTCAAGGTCATGGTTTAGTAGCATGGCCAGGGCCTGCTGTAAGACTCACCTGTTTCTCCAGCTTTGGTAAGGGAGGGTGGATGGCAGTTGGGATGATGGTTGGGTATGATGATAGTCCTCTGAAATAAGGTGGGAAGCATGCGGGGGTTTTGTGTTTTTCATTATTTGAAGAGTTTTTGATTTTACACACACACATATATATATTTGATTTTATATATATGTGAGACAGGCACATTTTAAAAATGAAATCAACTGCGAGCAATATAGACACCTAAACTATTTTGGTGATCCTATGTGAAATAAGTTGATCTCATTCTAGATGTTCATGGGCAGACAGCTGCAGCCTAAAGAAAAACATTATGAACTGGAATTCTGATAGTCTCATCAAGATGCGCTTTGGGACTTGAACTCCCTTCTTTCTCTAGAGATAGTTTATCCAGACCAGCATACATAGGCAGGGTAGCATGAAGTAGCTTGCCCTTGTCTTGTACTCTGTGATACGTGTGGGGCTTCAATCTACAAGATTAATGCTCTGGTTTCTTTCATAAGCAACACAATAACATAATAATAATGAAATATAAATGAAAATATTTTTTAAGAGGGAAAGAAAAGACATCAGAAAAATGGCATCCCTTTTGTCCATACCTAACATAATCATTAATTTCTGAAGAGAGCTTCTAAAGTGTAGAATTGCAGGGCAGAGCCCAAAGTTTTTTCTCACTTAAAACAACTCCTGACTCCATTGGGTCATGAGTACTTGTAAGAACAACAAAATCAGTTCTTATTTACTCTAGGGGTACGTCTAAACTACATGCCTCCGTCGACGGAGGCATGTAGTTTAGACGTACCCCTAGAGTAAATAAGAACTGATTTTGTTGTTCTTACAAGTACTCATGACCCAATGGAGTCAGGAGTTGTTTTAAGTGAGAAAAAACTTTGGGCTCTGCCCTGCAATTCTACACTTTAGAAGCTCTCTTCAGAAATTAATGATTATGTTAGGTATGGACAAAAGGGATGCCATTTTTCTGATGTCTTTTCTTTCCCTCTTAAAAAATATTTTCATTTATATTTCATTATTATTATGTTATTGTGTTGCTTATGAAAGAAACCAGAGCATTAATCTTGTAGATTGAAGCCCCACACGTATCACAGAGTACAAGACAAGGGCAAGCTACTTCATGCTACCCTGCCTATGTATGCTGGTCTGGATAAACTATCTCTAGAGAAAGAAGGGAGTTCAAGTCCCAAAGCGCATCTTGATGAGACTATCAGAATTCCAGTTCATAATGTTTTTCTTTAGGCTGCAGCTGTCTGCCCATGAACATCTAGAATGAGATCAACTTATTTCACATAGGATCACCAAAATAGTTTAGGTGTCTATATTGCTCGCAGTTGATTTCATTTTTAAAATGTGCCTGTCTCACATATATATAAAATCAAATATATATATGTGTGTGTGTAAAATCAAAAACTCTTCAAATAATGAAAAACACAAAACCCCCGCATGCTTCCCACCTTATTTCAGAGGACTATCATCATACCCAACCATCATCCCAACTGCCATCCACCCTCCCTTACCAAAGCTGGAGAAACAGGTGAGTCTTACAGCAGGCCCTGGCCATGCTACTAAACCATGACCTTGAGTGTCTCCATTTATCTGGTATTACATGAGCAGAGTGATAGCAACCTAAGGTAGAGATGGAAGCCATTTAGGGTTTATATGTCAAAACTACCTCTGACTTGCACCTGGGAAGTACCAGGAACCCCCAAAAAACTTCAAGCACACATTTTACATGCTCCCTGTAAAAAGCACTTGCTACATTCTGTGCTAGCTGAAGTTCCTGAGTGCTCCTCAGATGTAGCCTCGTGTAAAGCCTATTGCGGCAATCCAGTTTTATGCTGACAAAGGTATGGAAGGCAATGATGAAGTGCACTTCCAAAAGGAAAAGATAACAAAATGCATTATTTGCCTCTCCTAACTGGACAGCAAGAAGCAACAAGGAATCCAACAACAGCCTGATGTTTTGCTACTAAGGGTATGCAACTCAGTTATAACCTCTGCTATCTCCCCTTCCCCCACCCTAAACAGTCTTATTCACACTGGACATCAGCACTTATCCATGACTCTAGTTCATTTATACTCTGGGAAAGCTAATCAAGCATACTGTCTGGAGGATTCTCTGAAACAGAGCTGATGATATGTCAGATATGCTGTAAGAGGAAATATGTGAAAAAGACATATGATGTCAGAATACCCCTTTAAAAATCCTTATCAGTGAGATAAACACAAAATGATGCCATATAAAAGAAAAACTTACCCTTCCATTTACTTCACCTCTCCACCAGCCATTGGCACTCATCTTTGTGTAAATTTTCACCACATCACCTTTCACTAAGGATAGTTCTCTCATGTCTCTTGCACAGAAGTCATACCGGGCTATGGCTATGCCAATTACTTTGGGATTTAGCACTGAAATTGAACACAGAAAATCAATGTTATTATGATTTGTCAATTTCAGATCAATCATTTAAGTCAATACTGTAAAAGGTATTGCAACGATTCTATTACAAAATAAGCTGTGAACAACGTTATGTAAATCTGAAAGAAACCACACAAAGAAATCAAGAAGACCTTCTTTAAAAGTTAATTCAACACATGGTTGGAGGATTTTATATGTTTTTTTGGGGGGTGAGGGGGGCATAGAAAGGAAAAACATTCCATGAAATTGAATGTAAACGCTACTGAGTCAAAAAAAATTTTTCCCAGGGATTCAAAAATTCTGCAGAACTTATTACACTTTTTGTCATTTATAATATTGCTGCAAATACACATTAACTTATTTTTGAGGTCACTATTTTGTTTCCAAAGCGATTATTAGCATTAATTGTTGATTTAACTTTAAACCTCTAATGAGGCAAACTAAACAGATTATGGTGCTATTCCTTCAGAGAAACAATCCAAGTTAAATACAATACATATAAGATTATAGACCAATTCCTTCCAACTAAAACTAAAAAGAAAATGCATTTCTTCAGTTTGGGTTATCTATTGTATGGCCTTTATTCTGGGGCTTTTAAACTCTAAAACAAACATCAACACTGATCAGTTGAACCCAGGTTACAAAATGTCACCACAAGCAAAAATACGCTGATTCAGCAAAGTACCTAAGTATTAGCATAAATCTAAGCATGTGGGGGGGAAGGTCTCAACAAAATCAACATTTACAATTCATTTACATTGCAACACTATTTCAAAATAACTAGCACTATTCTAAAATAACTTAGTCTGCGTCTACACACCTGGCAGTTATTTCTAAATAGTGGCAAAACACTGTCAAGCTGGAAGACTTCTTACTCTGACTCCTGTAACCTTCATTGAACGAAGAATAAGGGAAGTTGGAGAAAGAGTGCTCTATTTTGAAATAAGTGCTGTGTAGACACTTCCTATTTCAAAATAAGATACACAATTGATGCAGCTCAATTTGCGTAACTTATTTCGAGTTAAGCCCTGTAGTGTACAAGTGCCCTTAGAGATTTACAGTGATATACCTACTTAAAATACTTTGCTGAACTGGGCCTAAGTCGTTTCAACTGATATAAAAACGACTTCAAATATTTCTGAATGATACTAGTGCAAAGCTGCATGTCTCTAATATGATACAGAGAACAGATGAGCAAGCACATTGTTACTAGAGTTTCCCAAATTGCTGTTAACATTTTAGTTTTGGAAATGTCAAAAATCTAACAGTAAGGAATCAGAGCAAGCTGAACTTCTTTGATTTAAAATCAGGGAAATACGAAACATGACATGTAAACAAGAAAACTCTAAACAACTCTAACAGAAGGAGCTATTTAAGTTAGATCCTTGCTCTATATACTTTAATTTGATCGTTGTTGTGATCTCATATGAAGAGCAGCTTTTGCACAACAGAAACTATGAATTCAAATAATTACAAGTGAACACACATCAATGATTAAAACTGAAACACCTAAAATCAAATAGTCTGAAAATGAATTCTGACCTTTAGCACATTGTAGTGTGCTATAGCTTTGCACGCAGCATTAGTATTTAGAATATGGCTATAAGTTACAAATACGTTCTATAGAAGAGAAGGAGCCAACTGATAGATTGTTCATGTGCACAAAATGAAGATGATGAAGAATATAGACAGTCATGCACAGTATATTATAATAAAATATATTCTCTAGCAAATACCATGCCTAGACTCTTTAGGTAAACTCTTCATGTCAATATTATGTTAAATACCATAGTGAGCCACAAGAATAAGTAGTGACGGGGCAGGAGCTGATTGGGGAACAAGGTGCTGGTCACTGATTTGGCAGGGAAAGGAGTGCAACAGAGGCAGTAACTGACATTTTGTGAGGAAAAGGGCACTAGCAGCACTTATTGATTTTGAGCTCAGCAGTGTACTGGATGACCATAGCAGTAATTAATGGGGGGAAGAGGATATTTGATTTAGCGGATACGAGGACCAGCCCATAAATGATTGGGGGAAGCCAGGAACCACTCTGGACTCAGAATCAGGATAAGATTGGGGAGAGGCCAAGGTATATTGGAAGAGAAGCAGGGAGAGGAACAAAAGGAGGTAGGTAAGAAAGAAGACAACAAGGAGAAAGGGGGCCTGAGGGAGGGAAAGGACTAAGGAAAACAGAAATGCAGGTAATGCTGGGTAGTAAATATTTTATTTCCCAGTAAAACATTAGGGAAAATGGGAAGCAAAAGGGCAGAACTGGAGGATAGTATTTCAAACCCTTTCAAAGTGAAGAGCACAAGGGAACGTGAGAAAGAAGTAAGCGGAAAGGGACAGAATCTGGAAATAGGAGAAAGAGGATCAGGGGCTATTTCATTGCAGTGTAGACACTGAAGCCCAGGCTCTAGGAGCCTGCATTCCAAACCTTGGCCCTGGTCCTGAACCCTTCTTGCCCACCAACTCTCTGCCCCAGGCTCATTTCAGAGCCCCTCCCACACTCCAAATCCTTTAGCCCAAGATCAGAGCCTGCATCCTCCTCCCCCGCAACCCAACCCTTTGCCCCCAACCTGATAAAAGTGAATGAGGATGGGGGAGGCAGGGAGGATGGAGTGAGCAGGAGTGGGGCCTCTGAGAAGGGGTGGGAAGAAGGTGGGACACGGATGTTTGGGTTTGAGGTACATCCTGGATTGCACTTAAATTCAAAAAGTAATCTTGTGCTTAAAAAGGTTGGAGACCACTGCCCTAATGCTTCTAGCCCCAGAGAACTAGGACATTCGGTCTGAGTCAGATTTCTGCCTTTGCTTCCAATAGCATCAGTTTCTCATGAATACAAGCTGTGACCAGTTTGATCTCACACTATGTATTTCCCTTAGCTTGTGGCCTGCCTGTTAAAGTGCTGTGGCTTTAGCCCCGTAACAGTTATTTTTGGCTACTGGGTTCTGTGTGTCTTGAAGCAATGTCAGTTGATTTATTTTATGACACCGTATATCAGTTCTCACCAGTATGCAAACATGGAGAGTATTTCCAAAAGTGCTCCCACATTGCTGGCCTTACTCTGGTCCCACTGGCTTCAAGGGGTAAATTTTACCACTGACTTCCAGAGGAGCAGAGATAGGCCAACACTGAACGTACTTTTAAAAAACCCAACTCTTAATATTTAGTGATCACATTTTCCATTTACATTTTCTTTTAGTTGTGAATTTAATGAAGACCGTTGGTGTTTTAAGAAGAGATGATTTTATTAAAAATGCAAAAAGTCAAGCACAGTATCTGCCAGAAAATGAAATACCATCCAGGCAGACATGCTTCACTTACCTAACACAGACACCCCATTACTATTGTGTAATGGTTACAAAGAAATGTCTTTAATGCAGACATTACAATGCAGTTAATTCTTACTAATTACCAACCTAAAGGGCTACGTTGGGGCTAGTTGTATGTACAAGGACTATAGCAGGCCAACCTCAATTCCAAAAACTTGTGCCTCCTCGGCCGGATAATCCATCTTGCATAAGTGGAAGTGAACCAGTATAAGGAGAGCAAATGTTGTACTCTTTAGCTGGTGCAGCGGTTACTGTTGTGCGTGCTCCTTTGGGATTCCCAGAGAATTTTTGCCTGCCACCAGCAAAATTCCTGGGGCTACCAGAAAAGTGGTGCAGCTCCACCATAACTATGGTTATCTCTACACTACTGGTGGATCAGCACTGTGGTAATCAATCCACCGGGGGATTGATTTAGCAGGTCTAGTGAAGACCCCCTAAAATTGTCCACCAAACACGCTCCCACCAACTCCAGTACTACACCAGAATGAGAATCTTAAGGTAAATTGGTGGGAGAGTTTCTCTCATGGACCCAGCACAGTGTAGACACTGCAGAAGTTGATACAGGATAAGTCGACTTTACCCTGTAGTGTAGATCTTCCCTGTGGTTTAAAAGTCACAACAGCATCTTACTTACTGGTGTTTATTAATGGAGTGCAAATTTGCTACAACGTGATTGGAACTGAGATTAGTATGGCTATAAATTTCAATCTTTTTATAGTCTGTTAGTTCAAAATGTTTGTATATTTTCACAGCAAGAGAAGATTAAAAGAGAAAAAAGAAAACAAGAGTACATTTGAAAAACAGATGAGTAAAATTAACTGAAGCCAAAATCTAAGAAAAACATTTGTTAACAGAACTCTAGCAACAGCATTTTACAATTCTGCCACAATATGGTTTGCTGTAGAGATGGGACGAAGACTTGATTCATTCATAAGCAATTTTCAGATATGTAAATTTATATGACTACATTAATTAAATATAAAACTTGCTATAGGATTCCACTATTGAAAGGTGAGTTAGTGGCCATTTGAGGTATGATGCAGCTATTCAAATTCTGCTTATAGTAATGTATACTTAAATCAAGTTTATTTTATATGAGTTTGATTTTGTGGGACTGCAAGAATAACAATTTTCTACCCTCAGATTACCTTGACTTTATAGCTTATCATGTTAACCAATTACTGACATTTGGAGTCAGTCTTCAGTGCATAGCATTAGCTACTATTCTGCACTTAGTCAAGGAATGAAAAAAGTAGATTCGTCCCTTCCCTATATGGCTGCACATTGAAAGAATTTGCAAACAGAAGCAAATTTAGAAGAAATATAAAAGCAGTAAGCAGTACCTGACCAGAAAGGAGTGGAGGAAGGGGGAACAAAGCTGTAGTCTGGAGGAGTTACAAAAGAAAACCCACAGAACAAAGAAGGGGCTTAGAGAAAGAAAGAGAAAAAGAGAGAAGCAAAAGAATGTTGAAATATTGGCAAAATATTTAAATATTAGTATATTTATTAGGTAAGTAATTGGTAATAAGGAAACTAATGTTGCTCACTGAGGAAATGTGGGACTATGAAAAGTGGAAAATGTAAATCTAAGGGTTTTTTTTTCCACACTTACATTTTTCAAAAACAAAAAATTAAAAAATCCATTTGGGATTTGGCAGAAAAGAATTTTAAACTTCTTTTCTTACAAATAAAACTGTTTCTTTTCTAAATACATTGTAAAATATTTTTGACCCCGACTCAGCTAAGTTCTTAATCATGTGTCTAAGTTCAAGTACATAAGCAATGTCATTGGTATCCATAAGACTATGCACTAGCTTACCTTAGGCATGTTCTTAAGTACCATGTTAAACTGGGCCTTACACCACGTATGAAGGGATCAGAGCATTCTGTTCTGGTAACCATTAACATCAATGAGCATTATGTGTATGTTGCATATTCTCTAAGGACTACATGATATTTCGGATCCATATATGCTACTCATGCAGTTCAGTGGAAGTTCTGATCAAACACAAAAGGGAGAATTTGGCTCAGGTACTTAAACTTGTGGAGCCGGTATGCTAGCTTCTGATGGATAAATGTAATGTATTCTCTGCTAATCAAAGGGTTAAGGACACACTAATTAAATCTGCAAACCATAGATAGGTTTGCTGGTCACCCAATTGCTTTCTTTTGAGTGACATCATGTTTTCTACCTGCAAAAGAGCCTATTTTGTGGGTGCAATCACTGTTTATGCAGAAGCAATCTCAAATAAAAACTGAGACCAAAGAACATATCATTGCACCAAAATTCATCTTTGTTTACAATCCTCTTTTTAAAAAAAATAAAATACACAGTGATGTCTCGATATATTTGATAGCTGATGTGCCATCCTCATGCCTACTGAAAGTGTGCAATGACCATCTAAAAAGAAGAGAAGTCCTGGGGTACTGATATTAAAAAGAACCACTGGATAATTTTCTGAAGTGAGTGAAAATTTAACTTAGTTTTAGGTATAAAATGATAACTCAGTTCTAACAACTAACTATTGAAAGAACTGTAAGGCATGCAGATCAGCTTTCAAATCACTCTTGGCCTGAAATTCTAAGAAATAATATGGAAAGTATACTAAAAAACATTACAATTAAGTAAGAATAAAACCTTTTTTCCTATCACCGTAGAAACTGAGGTGATTTGAAACTGCCTTTCATATGCACTCAAAACATTCGGCGTTAGTACATGATGAATTTTTGCAATGTCTGCAAGAGAGTTTCCTAAATTTTTAAAAAAATTCTCCAAGTCAGAAATGCTTCTTTGCTTATTTTGTGATGTTTTGCCCCATGTGTACTAAACAAAGGTATTAAAGAACTAAACTATATAAGACTTGTATCATTAGGGAAAATGTATTTATTTTTAAAAATCCAAACAGGAATTTATATCAGAAGAGCTCCTCTGAGCCACACGCGCACACAAGACTCAAGGTTTGGGTTTAGTACTACAGTCTGGACTATCCAGAAGGAAAAGCTCATTTAGATTTAGAACAGTCTTAAAATCCATTAACTAAAGTGTCATCCAGGGTCAAACAATCTGGGTTTTGTTATTAGAATTGTGGCAATCTAGTAGGCTTTAAACAGGGAATTTGAGAAATGAGGCCCACCAAACCTCTCAAGTAGAAAGTACCCTCTTGCTCTTCCATATTATCACCTCTGAACTCTCATGTTCTTAAGTAACTCCTGTAATGGAGATTTTTATTTCTGGAGTGGAGCGAAGGAAGTGGAATGTGTAAAATCTTGTATCCTGCAAGAATTTGCAACAGTTATGCTATTTCTCCGATGCATTAGTATTCTTCGATGTGATACAAATGCCTTCTTTGGTGCCTTCCTCCTATTAACTGATTTAAGTAAGAAGAGGAAGCATCTTCTTTCTGCTCCTCTCTGAGAGTAACTAAAATAAACACAAAGGCAATGTAGGCAGGGCATCCCTCATGCCAGGGAATGCACTAATACTCCATGCCAGGTAGGAATGATGGGGAAAGAGGACAGAGACTGTGAGGGATAGTGAAAAGAAGTTAGATAGGAGAATGAGGAGGAAGACACTTTGAAAAGTGACAAGGACAGAAAATAACTAGGAACGGACGTGAAATCCTGAAAGAAAACTAAAAACTCATAGAGTTTGTCTACACTACATTTAAACACCAGTGCCTGGGCCATGTCACCTGACTCAGGCTCGCCATTTATAATTGCACTGTAGATTTTTGAGCTTGGGGAAATAGGATGGTTTCAGAGTTCAGGTTTTGGCCTCAGCCTAAACGTCTAGACTGAAATTATACAGCCACATAGTCCAAGCCCAAATGAGCTGATACAGGCTACTCAAAGGTGTTTAATTACACTGCATATACTCCTGGGAAATAATTAAAGAAAACGAGAGAAGAAAGAAAAGAGGAAACAAGACGATAGAAAGAAACACAAAGAAAAACAGGGAAAATGGATGAAAAATAATCTGAAAATAATCCACCCTCAAATTCCCCTAATGCTTCTGTTTTCCCAAATAAAAGTGGGAAAGTCTCTTGGAAATTACATATGCATGTCCTAGTATAGATAAACAAGTAAAAATCTAACAAAAACCCCAGCAATTGAAAATGACAGAATAGTCAAAATCATTGCCACAAGACACTGGGCTGGACTTCATTCACAGAAATCTTCAAATTGTTGAAGTCACCGTTAATTTTTATTTCCCTCTTATTATCTTGTGAAATGCAAAGATAAAGCCTTTGAAGTCTAATATTCTTGCAGGAAAAATTAAACATTTTCAACAGACCACATAACAGTAATTTTAAATAACTTTGAACATCTAAAAAGGCAATAAAGTTTTACTGATTTGACTTTAGGATATTACATGTTATAAAAGCAATATTATTACACATATTGCAGCTATTTACTTCCAAAATAAACAGTTTTTTAGCAGGCATGGTATTTTGAAAAAACCTTTTGGAACTGTTCTACAGGATTGTAAATTATAGCCTTAAAACACAGATATTAAAAAAACCCAACAAAAAATAAGATGATTCTTCAAATGATGTATTACTCAAAAAACTGTGTGTGTCTTTACTGTAACTCCAGTTTACAAAAATGTAGCCAAATTAAGTGATTGATCTATTTAAATCCCAATCCAAGATTAAAACTTGTTATTTATTTATGCATGTGACTGAAAACAGTGCTGCCTATGCCAACATCTGCAAAAACTAGGCAAACTCCAAATTTAATCTCTCACTTGTATTTCTAATAGATTTTTGAACACCAACCTGACTAAGTTTGGCAGCAAGGAAGTCTCACTAAACATGTCCATAAACCTGTTGGCAGATCTGATTATGCTTAGGTGTAGAAAAATGTTAGCTGAACACATTACCATATTAATTGGTTAAATGTCAAAAATGCAAAATGAAGATGTTTTAAATGTCATTATGCTTTTAGTGTTAAAATGACAGCAAGTAACATGTAAAATGATAATACTCACAGTTACTGCTTGCTCTGTTACTCCTTTGTCCATCTGAATTCTCAGATTCCTTATATGGAAACTGAAGAGTAGTATCCAAACTTCGGAAACCTTCTTTGAGAGAGTGACGGTTGTAGTACTCTACGAGTTCCTTTGAGGAAGAGAGAAAAAAAACATGACTGGAAATTTAATTTGAATAATTTCAACAGCAAGATATGCAATTAATGATAGTTTTCTTACATATGTGATCTTATCATTAGAGCTGAGCAAATAATTTATTTTTCAGTTCTGTAATCAAACACAAAATAAAATAAAAATAAATTCATTTGGTCTCAGCCAAGAAATACAAAACCAAAAATATTTCACTTGGGTCACACTGGAATTTTGTTTTCAAAATGTTGTTTTGACATTTCTAAAATCTTTTTTTTTCCACAAGAAACTATTTGCTGAATTTTACCTGAATCCTTGAACAGTTTTGATGCCCTGAAAAATATATTTTTGGTAAGAGGTATTTGCTGAAAAAAATGTCACCCAGCTCTATTTATAATGGGTAACTACATAGTAATTATACAGAAAGTCAAGTTACCTAAAATACTTACTCTCTCCATTGATGTGCTGAACACCCTATCTGTATCACTGCCTTTTATTTAGTATTAGAAGATTTACCCGGCATTGCTCGGGTTCTTAATTCCATTTTTGAAAATAAAGTGAAAATATACATGAAAATGAAGCCATTTAAATTATTGCTGTGTGGTGGGGCTGAGGATGAGAAGTTCAACGTGCAGGCTGCCCCAGGGAGAGAGGACTACCCCAGTTCTTTTTCATCACTGCAGTTTGGGGACAGGTGAGAAGCTCTAGTGGGCACAACCAGGTGAGGATTGCTGATGTTCCCCAGCTGGGGTAAGTCCAGGTTCATCTGTCCCCTGCACTCTCCAGTCACAGTGAGGAATGCAGCAAACGGTGCACTTTCCCCTCACTCCTTCATGAAAGGGAATGGCCAGTAATGTCCCTTTATGAATTGGGGGTGTGTGGGGGGAGCAGAAGCCCCCCCCACCCACAACCAAACCCTGGCCTTGCTTTAAGTTATGATAAAAAGAAGGTACAGCAATTTGATGGCACAAACAGACAGAGTCTCTCAAATATATAGCAGATGTTGTACTTGTTGTACATGCTTAGAATCAATTTTATAGGACAAATCCTTTTTTGAAAACACAGACATCAGATGACAGTCTGAGCCTCATAATCAACAAGTAAGTGCTTTCCCCTCAGGTACATGGACCATGTAAAGACTTCAAAGGGATTTCATGTCACTGTGTCAGATGGCCTCAAGATAAGTCAAGATATGGTACACAGCTTCTCACATTCTCCATGAATTAAATTTGAGAGTTCTCCTTACATTTCATAAATGATTTGCTAAAACATCATATGAAATCAAAAGTAGTACAATGCATGGAGGTCAGTCAGTGCCTTCAGGTCTCATGTATGCCACTACTAAGGTTTGTCTGCAGAGTGGGGAATACACAAACAATGGGTCTGTGATATCTAAAGCACACTGTGCATTAAGTGGTCCAGGTAGACCCTGTTGGTGTGCACAGGATGTTCCCTACAAGTGAACTGGAGAACATGTAATGCACATCAGGAAAATCTATGGAGACCAATACAGGAGCAACACGTTAATTTGCTTTATAGATCATACACCCACAGTGCATATTACTATACAGGCAGCCCCCGGGTTACGTACAAGATAGGGACTGTAGGTTTGTTCTTAAGTTGAATCTGTATGTAAGTCGGAACTGGCGTCCAGATTCAGCCGCTGCTGAAACTGACCGCAAGTTCTGACTTACATACAGAATCAACTTAAGAACCCCAGGCGTCCCCAAGTCAGCTGCTGCTGAAACTGATCAGCAGCTGATTCCAGGAAGCCCGGGGCAGAGCAACTCTGCCTCGGGCTTCCTGTAGTCAGCGCTGGTCAGTTTGAG